CTCCAGGAAGGGAAGCTGAACTTTCCTACAGCCAGAGAATTCTTCCTTCAAATTCTGGGAAGGCTTCTAGCCTAGTGAGAGCTCAGTCACCTCCCAGCCCAGGCTGCCTCTCATCTTCCTCCCTTCTCTCCTGTGCCCTGGGTGCTGCAGGCAGTGCCCTCAGCCCTGCTGGGCTGTGCAGAGGAGCTGCTCACCAGCAGAGCTGGCTCTTTGAAGCTCTTCTTGCTTGCCAGGAGCTTCCTGTGTGCCAGGAGCCCGGCCCAGCTCAGCAGCACAGCAACAGCCCCAGGCAGCCCTTGCTCTGCCCCTCTGGGCTCCCTCCAGCTGTCCCTGGGGCTCCAGGGGAATCTGCTGGCACACAGCTGAAGGAAATAATGATGTGCCTTCTCTCAGCTGGGCACGGGCACAGACACTTCTTTCAGCAGGGTCATTTCTCCAAACAGACACAGAGTAAAGTTCAAGAGTCCCCTTTTCATGTCCCATCATTAGACAGGAAACCCAGACAGTGCCCAGGAGGGATCCCCTTCACCTGCACTGAGGGAAGGGACTCAGCTGAGTCAACAGAGGTGTCTCCTTGTGGCTCTGCAGACCTGGGGCCAGAAGGACACTCAGCTCCCTCCACAACCCCCATGGGCTGGGATTCCTCCTGCCCCACTTCAGTGGGCCCAAAACAGGCCCCTGCAGTGACTCCTTGTCCCAGCTCCCATGGGAATGAAGGAAGACCAAAGCCAGGAGTGACCTGCTGGGACACAAAGCCCTGGTTCCTTCTGAGGGGCCAGAGGTAACCGAGATTCCTGCTGGGAACTGCAGGCTCCAATGGAGCAGTTCCTAGGGACAGGGCAGCAGCTGTGGGATCTCCTTGGAGGCTGCTGGGACATTGCTTTGGCCAACTTCAGTGGCAGAAGGGACCCACATGTAGGACAGGGGAACCTGTCACTGTTCCTTCTGTCCAGGGCAGCCCCTAGAGGTGTTCAGGTGATCAAATGGAGTCAGGTGGCACAGGGAGAGAGGTCTCTCTCCTGTTCTTTCTCAGGGTATTTTCTACAGCTCCTCAGAGTACAATGGCCGTTGTCTCCTGGACATCCCTTCACTGCTGAACCTACTTCAGGGCAACTGAGCCTGGATTCCATAGTAAGTGACTGTAGTGATGGGAATGTACGATGGTTGCCATGGTAAGTGACTGTAGCAACGCGACTGTTGATTGTTGCCATGGTAAGTGACCATAGCAATGGGAATGTATGATGGTTGCTATAGTAACCGACTGTAGCAATGGGAGTGTGTGTTGGTGGTTGCCATGGTAACCAGCCGTGGCAATTAGAATGTATGGTGGTTGCCATGGTAAGCGACCAGAGCAATAAGAATGTATGATGGTTTCCATAGTAACCGACTGTAGCGATAGGAATGTATGATGGTTGCTATGGTAACTGACCATTGCAATGGGAATGTGTGATGGTTGCCATGGTAACTGACCGTTGCAATGGGAATGTGTGGTGGTTGCCATGGTAACCTCCCATAGCAATGGGAATGTATGATGGTTGCCATGGTAACTGACTGTAGAAACGGGAATGTGTGGTGCTTGACATGGTAACCGACTGCACCAGTGGGAGGTATGGTGATTGCCACGGTAACCAACCATAGCAGTGGGATGGTTGCCATGGTAGCTAGCTGTAGCAATTTGAATCTATGCTGGTTGCCGTAGTAACTGACCGTAGAAACCGGAATGTAAGGTGGTTGCCATAGTAACCGAGTGTACCAGTGGGCGGTATGGTGGTTGCCATAGTAACCGAGTGTACCAGTGGGAGGTATGGTGGTTGCCATAGTAACCAAGTGTACCAGTGGGAGGTATGCTTGTTGCCATGGTAACCGACCGTTCCAACACAACTGTATGATGTTTGCCATGGTAACTGACCGTAGCAACAGGAATGTATGATGGCTGCCATGGTAACCGACCATAGCAATGGGAATGTATGATGGTTGTCATGGTAACTGACCATAGCAATCGGAATGTATTATGGTTGCCATGGTAACCGACCATAGCATTGGGAATGTCTTATGGTTGCCATGGTAACCAACCATAGCAATAAGAATGTATGATGGTTTCCATGGTAAATGACGATAGCAATGGAAATGTATGGTGGTTGCCATGGTAACCGACTGTATCAGTGGGAAGTATGATGGGAGGGGGGTGGGAAAGCAGGAGGGGTGTGTGCAGCCTGCAAGGCCAGAGCAGCAGCAGGGCCAGGGCAGGACAGCCTGCAGGAGAGATGGCCAAGGGCTCTGGCAGGGCTGCAAGGCCCAAAGGCACCCAGGCCTTTGTCCCCTTGCCTCTGGCAGCTGCCTCTGCCACTCAGGCCACCACAAGCAACTTTCCTGGCAGGTTCTGCCCTTGGGTTCTGTCTCGCCCCTCCCTCAGCAGCCTGGCAGGGGTTGCCCAGTTTTGGCCCTTTGTTGTTCCTCCCCCTCCCATCCCAGTGCCCCCAAACAGCCCTGAGCCAGCCGGGAGGGACAGGATCTGCTGGGCCAGGGCCTGGGGCTCAGGCCTTGGCCTTTGTGCTCCACAAAACCAAGGCAGGCTTTGCTCAGCATTGCAGGGGCCTGCCCAGAGCCTTTGTCTGCCTGCACTCCTGGCCTCCAAGGAGCTGCTCCAAGGAGTCCCTGGGGAGGCTTTGGCAGTGCCTGCCCTCAGTGGGGCCCAGCAATGCTTCAAGGCACTTGGAGTTTGGCTTCTGACTTCTTCAGCAGCTGCTTCAATCTTCTCTCACTACCTCAGGATCATGGGCTGGGCTGCAAACACACCGTGGGGCTCATTAAAATCCAGAAATCCCTCAGGATCTCTTTGTCTTCCTTTAATTGTCTTCAAGGCAATTTCAAAACAAGTCTTCAAAATTTGTACTTTTTTTGTTTTATTTCAATTATGGATATTTTGTAGTTCAGAGAAGAGGTGATAGAGGTGTTCTCCAAGTGATCTTGATGCTGAGTGTCTCCTCAGGAGATCCACACTGACCCTGGATGATCAACCTCGCTCCTCACCCCCAACCTCACCAGTTCTGACATGGCCCATCTTGGACTGACAGCTGATGCAGCTCCAAACACACTGTGGAATCCATACTCTCCCTTACCCTTATCCTGCCTTTCCCTTATGCATTTTCCCTAAAGGTTCTCTTTATGCCATATTGCTGTAGATGAGAGATAGAGATGATAACACTCAAAATGGCAACATACCTGTTTACCTTTGAAACAACATTGTTCTAAAATAAACCCTACATATATATGTTTTCAAACACCGAATATTCGGTGTCGTTTCACTCTAATCCACCCCAAGGGATTTATTAATAAGAACCTGGGTTACTCCCAACCCCTTTCTGGGGTGGGTAGTAACAGACCCCTTGTAGCAGGATGTTCTACCTGGAAAAGAATCTGATGGGAGAATGCAAGCACTGCCAGCTCTCTGTGGGGAGTTACTGCTGGTGCCAAGGGCTTGGTTTAGTGTTGAATTGGGCCCAACCCAGCCTGGTTCCCCAACCTTCAGATACACATCCTGCTTTTGGAAGCAGAGTTTGACAGGTCAGCTGCTCACTGGCCTGGGAATATGTGACTGCTGATCCATCCCTGGATAAGCATAAAAGCCCAGGGCCAACTTTGACAGAGCAGATTCTTCCACAGACTTTGTTGAAGTGTGTGCAGCTTCTGCTGGGAAGCAGGGACAGCTCTTGATGGTCACTGCCCAGGGGGGAAAAGAAAGAGAGAGCTCTGCCTTGATTTATTTCTATCAGACCCCGCCGGGCCCTCCCCGCTTCCTGCCGGGATCGGACACCGCCGGCGGCCCCGGCCCTGCCGGGCTCCATCAGCCTGAGGAATTGCTCCGGAGGAGGGGCCGGGGCTTCCTCTTGGCCTTCGTCTCCCTGGCGCTGGGGCTCGGCTTCTACCTGCGCCAGAAGGTGAGGGGGGTCCCAGGGGGTCGTGTGTCCCCCCAGAGCGTCTGTGCCCCCCCGGGGACCCCCCACCCCGGTGTCCCCCCCTTTTCTCTCCCCACAGAGCTCCTGAGCCGCCGGCGGCCGCAGCCCCTCCCCGGGGCCTCGGGCCCAGCCTGGACCCCCCCCATCCCCGTGAGGATTTTGGGGGGGTCGTGTGTCCCCCCTGTCCCTGCTGTCACTCTGCCTCCAGCCGGCTGCTCCCAGTGATCCCAGGAAAGCTTCCAGTTCTCCCCAGTCCCGGTTATTAATATTTATATATATTAATATATGTTTTTATATATTTTAATATAATATATTGATATATGGTATATATCAATAATATATACTAATATATTAATTATATATTTATATATAATGTATTGATATATAATATATATCAATAATATATAAATATATAAAATATATATAAAATAAATATTCAAATATATAAAGAATATATACATTTATATATATGTTTTTATATATCAATATATAAAAATATTGATATATAATATATATCAATAACATATGTAAGTATATAAAATGTATATAAAATGTATATAAAATGTATATAAAATGTATATAAAATGTATATAAAATAAATAAAACATTTAAATACATAAATGATGTATAGAAATTAATACATAAATATGTCTTTATGTATTTATATATATTGATATATAATTTATATCAATAATATATATACAAATGTATAATATGTGTATATAAATAAATAAATAAATAAATAAATAAATAAATAAATTACATAAAAGTATATTGAGATAAATAAATTATTGATATAATATTTCAGATCCACACTTGTAAGGAACAGAAACCCAGAGCCGGGTGGTTTCCAACCAGAATTTATTATCTGAGAAAAGCAAATTCAGCGCTGGGGGATCAGGGAGGGGTTGAAAGGAGACAGTTGTTCTCTATTTATTCTCTCTATGAATATATACATTCCTTACAGAGCAGCAAAAACATTACCCATTGTCAGGTCAGACACTGCCAGATGGGTGCTTGTTATCTGCACAGTTATCAACTTTGCAGAAAGGTGTCATTATCTAGTTAACTAAACCAAGTCCCTTCACTATAAATTTTAGACAAGGTAAAAGGGAGAACGATTTGAGGTCCATAAAAAGAAAACAGCCTGAGGTCAACACAACCCGGAGAGAGAAAAGAAAAAGAAATCGTAAAACTTAATTGGGCCCCTGTAAAGACATAAACCAAGTTACCTCCCTTTTACCTTGTCTAAGGTTCATAGTGAAGGGACTTGGTTTAGTTAACTAGATAATGACACCCAGTCCCTCCCAGTCCCTCCCAGTGGCTCCTGTTGCATTGACCAGTCCCGTTGGCTGGCGGGACTGGTTTCGCTGTTGGGAGGGCAGAACTGGTGGGCACAGAAACCATTTCAGCCAGAGCCTTCCAGAATAACAGTTCTAAATAATTTCCCTCATTTGAATCATGCCGTACAGCAGATAAATAACGAGGCACCAGATGAGACGTGGCAAATCCTCTGGCTGCAGTGATAGGAGACATGCAACAAGCAAAAGCACACCATGAGAACAGTACGAAAGCAAGAAGGGAAAACCAAACCAACAGCACCGTCAGTAAAGATTATTTCCAAGGATCCTAAAGAAGGACTTGCTTGTTAGGGCAGAAAGCTGACTTCCCTGTTCCAATTCAGCCACTAAAGGCTTGGGGAAGGGCAGGTCAGAGCCCCAGTACACAGGTGCCAGGGAGAGGAACTGGGCTTCTCTTTGGTAAGAGCTCCAGTCACTCCCCTGATATAAAAATAGCTTAATGTATGCCTGGAAACCACACAGGATCACTTCCTTTTACAGAAATATGGAGGAAATCTTGACTTGCTGGCACAGAAACTGCTTCATCTGAGCCTTTGGCCTTGGAAAGCCCCAGCTCAGCTGTTGCACTTGTCAGTAACTTCCAGCTGGCTACCTGAGGCCCTCTCTTCAGAGTCCCTCACACAGCCTGAAGTATCCTCCTCATTTTCCTGCTCTGCTCTGCCTAATGCTTAATGCCCCCTACATCATCTCATGCCAAGTACTCTGCCTAAGGGCACTGAAAGCATTAGAGGCACCAAGAGGAGAGGCAGCTACCAGAACGGTCCCCCCAATACTTCACAGGGTCACTACCTTTTTGGGCTAACAAGGGAAGCTGTGAAAGTGCACTGGTAGTCCTCCTTTTGTTCTGGAGTGAAGGTCACTGTAGCAAAGGCGTGGGATAAGCCAGGAATGCTCATCTCGACAGGATCCAGCTTGAAGATGTTGCTGATGAGGCTGTGAGGCTTGGGGGGAACCCACAGTGCAGTGTTAGTGTCACATCTTTCAATGTGACCCAGTACATTCCTAGATGCATCCCTGGGAACAGCCCCAGACAGCCTGTCTTGCTTCATGCTTCCCTGGGCAGGCTCCCTCCATGCCAGGGGATGCTGACCTTGCGCCAATGCCCAGGCGAGCAAAAGCTTGCTTTGAGGGCTGGGCAGCCACCCCAGCACATGTGGGAGGTTGGGATGGCACAGAAACCCCTCAAATAACCCCGGACTGGCCTTTCAAGAGAAGGAAAAGCCAGGAAATGCTCTGCTTTGAGCTCTGCCCCATCGGTCTGTAACAGCCCCTCTCTGAGTGTGCTTTCGAGAGATGTTCAGAAGGATTCCCACCAAAGACCCAGAAGCGTGAGCCAAAATTTGCTTGAGAGATGTGGAATTCAATGCAAGTGCCCCCCTGGCATTGCTGCTCTGCCCTGCAGTTTGACCTGCACTGAGCTGGACTGGTCCAGCTGGGCCAGAGACCGCAATGACTCTGGAGAACAAGGCAGGCTCTCACATGGCCTTTAGAGAGCAGCGCTCACCTTGGCCTCTTGTTCTTACCTCTCCAGGCATGGCTTTGATGGAGAGGACCACGTCACATGGGACACTGCTGCCATTAGAGATCTTGAAGCGAGCCGTGGCCCGTTGCCCAACCTGAACTTTGGTGAAGATGAATTTGTTATCATCTCTGATGAACACACCGTTGCCTTGCACCGACTGTAACGTCTGGCGGAGATTGATGTTGCTGTGGATCGGGTACTGCTCAAAGATGGACGTGACGTCTTCAACAAGCGCTGCAGACAGACCAGAGGAAGGGCTGAGGCTGGAGAACCTCTTTGCTGAATTCACCTGGACCCAGCTGGCCTCTCAGAAGGCTTGATAAGCCCTTTCTGTCCAGGTGACTGCAAAACCCAGCCTTGGATGAGAGAGCTCAGTCAGTGAGGATGGAGCTCAGTCAACCTCAGTCTTAAAGGGCATTGCTTTCCTTTTATGCTTCCACACATCCCTCCCAGCCTCTCCCCACTGGTGGACTCAAAAAGGACTGCAGCCTCTGAGGATTTTAAGGTGGGACTTCAGGACCAGGTGCCTCTCTATCCAAGTAGCAAGTTTAGGTGCTGATCAGCAGCAGGACTGCCCATGGCAACCTGTGGACAGCACGTACCTGGGAGGCAGGACTCGGCAGTCAGGGTAAAGGGAATGCCGAGGGGATTGTCCTTGGGGTCTCTGTTGCTGATGTCAATGTACAGCTGCTCCTCACATTTCCCCTCTGCTCCTGGGCTGCAATCCACTGTGATCTTCTGCTGGCCCCCAGGACCGACGGAGCCGGAGCAAGGGGACACCGTGAACACGCCTGCAGTGAGCTGAGCCTGCAGAAAGAGCGCCAGGACAGGCTGATGCCCAACAGCCGTACCCTGAACACCCCCAGCAAGGAGGATGCCACGCCTCAGCCTCCAGCTGGGCCCGAGCACCCAGTGGCAGGGCAGGGAAGGATGACTCCACGGCCCAAAGGCAGCCCCAGGATGAGATGAACAAGCCAGGAGGAGCTGCACGTCTGTCCCGAGTGGCAGAGAGAAAGGAGTTGGGGTGAAAAGAATGAAGGTGGTAGCTGGGATCCTTCAACCTCCAGGGGTACAGGAGAGCAGAAAGGACTGAATGATGGGAGAGAGGGAGGGGATTGGGAAGAAGAAAAAGCAGAGCTGTCAGTGCTCTATGGATTGGGACTTCAGATGGGGACAGTTTGCTCCTGTGGTGTTCCCAGATCTGTGCTGGCTAGCAGCCACCAAACACAGGACCTGCTCCCCTCTCTTGACCCCACAACTGCAGGTCAGAGCCAGAGCATGGGACTGTCAGTGGAACTGAGCAGATAATGGACTCTCCATCCCGCAGACCTTGTCCTACCCCCAGCCTGGGCACAGCTGCATCCTCCCCCATCCCCTGCAGCAGCACACGCTGGGCAGGAGCAGGAGCCACCCACCTGTGTGGAGCGTTTTCTTTCCCTGACCGAGGGGGCAGATTCCTCTTGCTCTGAACTGAGAGGAGAAAGCAGAGACATCTGTCATGCTGAGCTCCCCTGCCTTTGTCTGAGGCCAAAGCTGGCCTTCCTCCCCATGCAGGAAAGCCTTCCTGCTCCCGATGGCCCCCGGGGCGCTGCCTGCAGCACCCATTGCTGCAGCTCATGGACAGAGCAGCTCTGTCACCAGCTTTGTCCCACACATGGGGATACTGAGGTGTTGTTTTGCTCCCTCTTCCCAAGCCAGCAATCCAAATGGACAATAACCCAGGTCTGGCTGCCTGTCACACACCAGCTGTGTGGTGGTGCCTCCTCAGACAGAACGGCTGGGGCAGGTCTTCTCTTACCTTTGCAGTGGAGGTGCTCGGTGGATGAGGAATTTGAAGTTGAGGGCGCCTTTGTTCTCTACAATTAAGACCTGTCTCTTCTTGGTGCCCTTAACCATGGCACCAAAGTCGATGGGCGAGGCAGGCTCGATGCTGTCCTTGCTGTACACAGCTCTCGCCGACACCCTCACTGGGATGGTGGCAACGGTCTCGCCTCCTTGACCCGATTTGAGATCAATGACCTGCAACCAGAGGAGGGGCTGGTAAACACAGCAGAGAGGCCAGCCTCTACCCCTGTCCCCTGACCCCAGCCCAGGCCTCCAGCAGCTCACCCTCCCTTTTTAAAGGCCTCTTCCAGAGCCAGATTTCCAGCTCTCTTACGAAGCCTCCCAAATGGTTTTGGAAGTCTCTGTTTGTGTGTGTAGGAGAGAGGATGCCCCAGCTAAAGCCTGCTTTGCACAAGACACCTCTCCTGCTTATGCTCCCAAGACACACTGTGCTAACACAGCCGGGCCCAGGCAGCTCACCTGGCAGAGCAGGATGGGTTTGCTCTCGAGAAACACTTCAGTCGTGGGGTGGAAGAGGACCTCAACTTTCAGAGGTGGCCGGGAGGCTTTCAGCACAGCCCCCTGCGGCCGGACAGTGAAGGGAGATTCCAAGTCGCCCCTCTTGGCACTTCCAGTGGTCAGCTTGAAACTGTGGAGAAAGGGAAAGCACAGGTGCCACCAGCACAGCCAACACTTTGCACTGGACCAGAAAAAAAAGAAAAGGGAGCAGCACGGGAACAGGTTCTAGCCATGGACAGAGGGAGAACGCAGGCCTGGGAGCCTGAGGAAAAGCTCAGCACCAGGCAGCTGGACTCACCTGTACTCAATGTCATACAAGCCTTTGTTCTGCAGACTCAGGACTTGCTGCTTATTATCCAGGACATTAATGGTTCCAAATTCCAAGCTGCCATCTGGACCTGCAGAAAACCCGCAGAGCGAGGTAAGAAATGGTGAATATTTGTGAGCTGCTGCAGAGCACACCAGCTCACAAGCTACACAGTTGGAGTTCTTGGATGGCACAAAACCCTCTTCTGCAAGTGTCCCTTCTCAGAAGTGTTCTCTAGCTACTTGGCTGCCCTTTCTCTTCTCACTCCAGTATCTGCAGGGTAGAAGCCAAGGAGCTTGGTTTCCATTTCCTTGCTTCCAAGCACAAATCCAGCTACTTTATGTGCTCTGCTGAGCCTTTGGGACTTGCCAACTGCCTGTTCAGATGACTGTTGTTTCAAAGCACCAAATGCAATCTGCACATGAAGCTGCACATTTCTAAGTTCAGAAGGGAGAGACTCAAGGCTCTTGGTGCCCTGACAGTGCTTTACTTCACGCAGCTTGCAAGGTCTGTGCTTTATGGATCTGTGCCACCCTTGCCTGCTATGCCATCCCCTCCCAAGGGCTTTGGTTGCCCACCTGCCAAGGTAGTAAAATGCACCCGGACTGTGTTGTCTGGGAGGCATCCACTGACCTTCAGGCATGTTGATGCTCAGATTAACATCGTAGACCTCCACAGAGACTTTGATGGTTTCAGCCTGAACAATGCCCAGGATGTTTTCTGTATCTGAAACCTGAGGCAGCAAGAAACAAACACTGCTTAGACCATTCTTTTGGAAGACAGCCTCTAAGTCCTTGTCTCTGCCAGCTGCTTCCCCCATGGCCTCCCTGGCTTGACAAGTGTTTGTGGACTCCCAAGTTTTTTTAACCTGTTCATCTCACAGGCTGCCCCGGCAGGATTCCGCTGCAGTAAGAAACCTTATCAGCCCAATTCCGCACTCCCACAGCAGGGAATGGTGCTGCTAAAGCACCCTTGAGAGGGCCAGGGCTGTAAACACAACCACAAGAAATGCGAGGTGTCCCAGAGCAGGTGGCATTGACAATTAGCGCCCTCCTCGTCAATCACCTCGCATGTTTGCTGAAATGCAGCCTCTAAACCACAGGGAACAAAATCCCAGAAAGGGTGCAGAGGGAATGCTGGTCTGTACAACCAAACAACAGCCTTCAAGCCTGCACAGCAGCAAGGTGGCTGTGCTACAGGCTCTGGATGCAGAGCCTGGGCACCCGGCCAACCCAGCACAGAGGCAGAAGTTGGGGCCACAGCACCCCCGTGTCTGTCAGGTGCAGCTCTCCCTGACTCTGTCCCTAAGAGCACATGGCTGCTTGCTCTGCCCTGCTCTGCCAGGCAGGCCCAAGTCCCTCTCACCTCTAGTCGGATCATCTTATTTGTGATGCCAATCTTCTCGGCCTTGAAATCCAGCTTCACCTCAAAGTCTGTGCGGGGCCCAACAATGCCCCTGCCTTGCGATGCAGAGAACTCATCTCCAAGGTCGTCCAGCCCACTGAGATGCCATGCCATGGGCAGTGGGCTGTCGTTTCTCAGGACCAGGGTCTGGGTGTCAGTCCTGCAGAGACAGGAAGACACTCAGTGTCAGTGCTGGGTGGTCACACCAGCCTGGCCACTGAATGCGGCTCGAAGCAGCTCCATCTGAGCCTCTGGAACCAGAGTCAAACCTCTTCTCTTTGTCACGAGCCTTGGAGTGCCCTCAGCCGTGGGATGACTGACCTGTGCAGAAGTATCTTGTTGAAATGCAGCTCCTGGGGGCTGACCCTCAGCTTCACGTGACCCCCTTGGCAGCACAGTCGGAAGACCGCTGGCTCCGGGTTGTCCTTGATCCAGCAGACAAGACTGTCTCCCAGGAGGCCAGCAGAAGTCAGGTACGCCCAAACACTCAGCTTCTGAACCCGTCCCCACAAACAGAAATACAAAGAGCCCTCTGTGAGCAGGAGGAACGGCACTTCTGCGGTCCTGCCCTACCTGCTCACCTCCTACCTTCTTCTCTTTGGGCTGCAGCCTCATGCTGGGAGGGTCCAAAAGGAACGTCTCTCCTTTGCTGTCGTTCTCAAAGGAGAAATGCACCTCTGCCTCCATGGGGGAGTCGTTGAGGATGGGTAACTTTTCGCTGTTGCCGGGGCAGTTCTGTGCCTTGTACCTGTCCAGAGAAGGGGAAAAGGCTGCAGAGGAGACTGTTGCCCTCACCACACACCGAGGAAAGCACCGTGTGCCGGTAGCAGGAGGTGGCACTGGAAGACCATGGTCTAACAAGCAGGGGAAGAAAAAGGATCCCTGTCAGGGGCACGAGGCACGGTCTGTGTGCTCATCCTTGCCTGGCTTTGATGCCTGCCCCTATACCTGGTGCCTGCACCCCAGAAGCGTGACGATGCACAGGCCATTTCAAGAGTGTTTCACACAATTTAAATTCAAAAGTGCCTGGAAAAACAACAATACACCAGGCACAAGGGTTCTTTCCCCTTCTTTCTTGGGGTGCCTTCCCTGCAGAGGATAGAGAAAGGCTTTGGAAAAGATGTTTGCAAAAGAGTTTCGCTTATCTCTTTTAGAAAAGTCATCAGACTACCATGGGTTAGCTCAAAAGTCTGAGGGAAAGAAATCAAAAGCATCAGTTCCCAAGGGGAATGTGAAAGATAACAAATGACCCTTCCTGATGTGTGCAACTGAATTTGGAGTGAAAGGGCTAAAGAGGCAAACAGAAATCCCAGACCATCCATCAGCCTGGCCTTCCAGAGCTCCCATGGAGACAAGAACTTAACTTCAAATGTTATTAAAAAAATAAAAAGAAGAGTGACATTAAAAACAGAAATATGCCAACAGCTACAATGACAACACTTTTAGGCAGACTTTTTCCAGCACTGTGGATGCAATGGAATCTCAGGAAAACATAATTCCTGCTGTAGGTTCCCCTCTGACTCACACATATTGGCAGGTCAAATCACAAAATCTCACTACTATTAGAGATTAATGAAAGGTTTACAAAACCATCTAGAGAATACTTGCTTGTTTGTCTACCTGTCGAGCTCAAAGCACTTGAAAAAGCACCATAAAGTTCATTTCCTAAGGGGTGGAGCTGAGATGTGGAGGGGACACAGGTTGCCCCAAGTCACCTTCGGGCTGGCAGCAGCAGCTCTGGTGGCTCTGGACACCAGGGCACCCACCAGGCTGGCAAAGCAGCTCCTCCAAGGCTCATTTGCCTGTTATCTGCTCACACTCACACATCTGTGCTCCCTCAAGCCCATGTGTCTGCCCGGTCTCTGCCCGGGACTGCCCTGCATTGTGCCACTGGGACAGTGTGTCTGCAAGTGTGTCCAGGAGAGCACAAGGCCCTGGAGATCCCCTCCCGACATCTCAGTCTGTACAGGCAGCACACAGGGATGCTCACTTGGGAGCAGGGAGCACATACCACTCTCCTGACTCGCCACAAAGCAGCGGTCCAAAGTGGAACTGCTTTGTGCTCATGACATACTCCTTGGAGATGATGTCCTCCTTCTCCTTGCTCTTCCTCCCGCAAGGAAACACCAGCCTGGGCAGAGACAATGGGGAATGAGGAGCTCTGAGATGCTGCAAGTAGGAAATCTAGTCAGAAAGCCATCACCCTTCTCGGTGGCTGAGGTACCAGTTCAGCCTCCCAGCTCCCAGCAGAGGAAGGGATGCTGGGTGACTCAGGCAGCACCATCTGCCCCAGCCAGAAGGTCACAAGGGGCAGCCCTGGCTCTGAGGTCGGGGGTGCAGTGTGGGATGCTCCTGTGGCCCAGCCTTACCGTGGGTTCTGGTTGATGCTGGGGTACAGGGCAGTGGCACTGCAGGGCAACTGGTACAGGCGCTTTGACCCCAGGATCTCAAAGTTCCTCAGCTGGTCAAACTGCCCTGGCACTGTGGGGCTGAAGCGGATCTTCAGTTCCACCTCAGCGTGGGCAGGAACGATCCACCGGAACCTTCTCAGCCTGGCAGTTAAAAGGGAAGCTTCAGACATTGCTAAGGGGCAAACGAGACAAGGAGGAGGGCTGTGCACTCGCCATCCCATGGAGGCACTGGCAGAGGGTTGCTGCTCACCTGGCAGGTCTCTCGAGGGTTGAGTCACTCTGCAGTTGGCTTTTCATTGGCTCAGGTGAACTTCTGGGTGTTTCTGGGGAGTGATCACGGAGACTTTTCGGGCTCTGGGGGGAGTTTGGCTTTTCCTTGCTAGACTTGTGTCTGGTTTTCCCCTTCTTCAAGTGGTCCTGTGCCTCTGCCTCTGGGGCCTTGGCATAAGGGGAGAGAGAAAAGGGAGAGAGAGGTGAGACCTGCCCTGAGACACGCC